GGCAGGTAAATGCATTCTGAACCGCACACTAACTGTTTCTCTACAGTTGAAAAATACTACCTTTTTATTACTAAACCAACTCCTTCTGTTTCTGATACCTGTCTTACTTTTAGTTGTATGCTGGCTATTGTTTGGGTGCCCTCATTAACTTCATTGTAGCTTCTTAATTAATTTCTGAGTTTTAGTGAAAAACTGAGTCCTTACACTTGTAACATTTTCCTCAAACGAAACAAAAGGATAAATACCAGAGCACAAACCAGAACTGAATTTAGTCAAAAAGTGGTGTCTGTTAGAGGCACACATTCCTGGAACAAATTACGTTCAGATATCAGGGAGAACAACTTAACCTTTAAGATAAAACTTAATCAAAGGTTAAAAACACATCAGTCATGTACTTGTATATAATGTCTGTCCTCCCCTTCTGGTGCCCGTTCCCGGGGGCTTCTGGCTCAACCTGCAATTTGAATAAGCTTATTGTATGTGGGCTCTGTTATTTCTCATGTGACAAATGTGTCCACTTAGTTTTTTGGTCTGTGAGTTGTTTTGTATGGATGTTCTGTAGACTGTCCTTTGAGGGGTCCTGTTATTGTAAATTTGTTTGATGTTTTAAGTACCTCCTCAGAACTACGGATGAAATTTAGCTTTTGTGCTAATTCTGGCATATTTACATAGATGCTGTTTGCTGATATGTTGATTAATGTGTACTGTCTTAATTAAATAAATAAATAACATTTTCTTTGAAGGTGTTTTACTGTCTAATATTTTTCAAGCAGTGGGTACAGTTCATTACTGCTAAGGCAAGCACAATACAGGTTTGATTATGTTGTTTGAAATGTAGTCAAATCTTTTTGCTGTTTGATTTCAGTTCGACAACTTCAAACGTGTTTTCAAAGTTGTGGAAGAACTGAAGGGACCCCTGGTGGAGAACATACGACAGCATTTCCTTCTCTCTGACAAGCTTGGGAGGTAATAAGTGAGAGGAATTGAGATCAAGCCTTACTACAGTTTCTTTTCCAAAGCATTTTTGTCACTTTAAAGATTTCGATTTTTTTTCAAGTTAGTTCATTGTTTTGTACTGTCGGCTTACTTGAACAGAACATCACATGCATAAGGCCAGTATTAAGTATGTTCAAACTACTAATAACAAAGTTCTCTGTTTTTTTTTTGTTAACTCGTATGACACCTCCTTATATTGTTTCAGGGATTATGCTGCCATTGTTTTCTTTGCCAACAATCGCTTTGAGACGGGGAAAAGAAAGCTGCAATATCTCACTTTCCAGGACTTTGCTTTCTGTGCTGGACAGCTTATCAACAACTGGACTGTGGGGGCTGTCGGTGAGCCCTTTTCAATGTTTATTTTGGCTGTTTGCTACTATTTTTGAAGGCTCATGTATGACATTTTCAATCATTTATAACACAAATATATTAATCAGCTGGAGCCACCTTAATCTGTTTCTGTTTGAGGCCTGTTGTGCGATAAAACCTTGTTATGCAATCCAAGAAGAACACATTCTATAAAGGGCTTTCTAAGAATGTTTTACACAAGACTGAGAAGCTCGCTGTTTGTGTTGGCTGTTATGAAAAAGAAACATTTGGAGCAGTTCCCCCTACAGTGAAGCTCTGTGACCACCAGAGGTCCTTCAGGTTTTGCAAATCCTCATTAGAATAAAGAGGAATTTGTACGTAGCTAATTATCAAATTGAAAAATGTTTGTGTGTTAGGAAGAGTCTGGGTTATGATATAACTTAAGGATAATTGGTAAAGAAATAACAAGCAGTGTTAATAGTAAAAAGAAGAAAAAAATATTTCACTCATTTGAACATTTCTTACTTTGAAGATCACATGGTGGAGGACATGGATGTGGATCTTGATAAAGAGTTTTTACAGGAGCTGAAAGAGCTTAAGATTTTAATCACTGACAAAGATCTGTTGGATCAACACAAAAGGTAACGGACACAAAGACAAACGTACACATTTTTGCTGACTACTTAGAAGCATGCTGGCTTTGGATTCAAATATTTTCCACACTGTCTTATGTATACGTTCTCATTTTTCATTCTATGCTCTCTGTTCAGTCTGGTCTGTACAGCTCTCAGAGGGAAAACTAAAGCTTTTAATGAGATGGAGGCTAATTTCAAGGTGAGAAACATCACACCCACAATAAATCCTAAATGTAATGTGCGGTAATTCTCACGCAATGAAAGAAAACTATTATAAATATATTTTTAATGTCATCATTTTTTTTATTTTTTTTTTTTTTGTAGAATCTTTCCAGAGGGCTTGTCAACATCGCAGCTAAGTTAACAAACACAAAAGATGTCCGTGATTTCTTCATCGATCTGGTGGAGAAGGTGTGCACTTGTACAAAATTTGAAGCAAAATACAAATTATTCAAGGGTTTTTCTTTAGACCAGAACCAGCTTTAAGGGCTGCCTTTGAGACAGTGTGATGTAACACCCCCTCCTTTTCTCCCCCAGTTTATTGAGCCGTGTCGTTCAGACCGATGGACAGCTGCGGACATGAGGCTCTACCTAACCCACTACACTAACTCTGCTCACATACTCGACACTTTCAAGTGAGTACATGGAATTTTATTCTCAAGCTTTACAGGCAGTGTTTGGCACAACCTTTCCTGGCACAACCCTTCCAGTGCTTTAAATTCCAAAGGGGGACAACCTGTGCTAAAAAAAATAGTCATGATTCTGAGAGTGCTTTGCAATAAATGAATAATGATACTCACTTTGGCAGTCGTTAAACAGTGCTGAGGCATTAAGTAGTAAGTTAAAATCCTCCTTTATATTGACATCCTTGTTCTGCCAGTTGGTGTCACCCTATCTCGGCCCTGATTTCTTAAACTGTAGTTACCTTGTTTCTCATGCGAACACTCAGGAATGTCGTTAAGGGTTTACACAGCCCTGCACCACTACGTGCTTAACAAAGAGATATTCATAAAAAGAATCATATACCCCCCACCCTCCCTCATTACTTCGAGCAGACAAAGATTGCCTCATTTACTCTCTTCACCCAGATTTCACAATTACAGTTTGTCATGAGACTTACAGCACCCCTGTGCTCCATTCACTTACAGTTTTCTCTCTTTCTGTCTCTGTTTTTGCCCCTCAGACATCAGGTTGTGTGGGACAGATACATGGGCGTCATCAAAAGCTGTATCTTCAAAATGTATCACGACTGAAGCATTTTTTTTCTGAGTGGCGCACTCCTCTCTTCTTCCAACTCTTCCCTTGTTTTTTTCCCTGTCCGTTCCCTTGCTGAAGCCGTTATCTTAGCCCTTCAGTTTGTGCTTTCCTTGATTCGTTTGTACAAGCAGTAATTCATTCTGCTTTTCAACCTCCATTATTGTTTTCAGCCACTCTGTTTGCAGCCTTGTGTCCCCACAGTGTCTGTATATTTGGTTTGTAAATAAAATGATCATGTTTTCATCAAATTGTGATTCTGTTTTATGTTCTCTTGTACAATTTGGTCCAATTTAAGTAAACATTTAATCTGTTGAGTCAGAAATTTTGTCATACACCCGCTCCAGGGACAGAATTGACTGATTTATTTTATTGCTGGTCGGGGATTAGAGACAAAGACAAAGAAGATATAAGTCAGACTGCTTAAGTGAAGCAAATCACAAAATTACTTTAGCCCCCAGCACTCATTATGATTTATTCTTTTAGCCTTAAAAATATAACCAACAAATGACGCATGTTGTGTTTTTTAAGTGCCTGTGTGTGGTCATGGGACTAAGAGACTAACCGGGGGGCACAGTTGGTCCAGCCAGGGGGTCATCTGTGTGATTTTTTTTTTTTTTTAACAACATCCCCCGTAATGACAGCTGTCATCTCTGCCACCACCCAGAAGACAGGACAAATAAACAATCTCAGGCTAAGAAAAGGTTTTCAAACACAAACAGAAGAAGAATAAAGTTATTGCTCCCGGCATTTTAAAAATAGAATGATTGCAGGTCCAAGGTTAGTATGTCTGTTAAAGAATATACAGTAGTCAAATTTAACACGGGCATTGTGCAATGGGCGTTATATTTTGGAATGAATCCTTCGATTATATTACTGCTCATTTAATTTATTTTGTTGTTAAGGGTGACCTGAAGGTTTGATTTTTTTGTTGAGTCAGACTTAAACTAATAAAGAATAGCGTGAGTTAAGCAACATCTTAATCAGTTTGCAACATAACAGACTGAAAGTTTTGCAAGAGAAAATACTGCAGGAAATGATTCTACGTGGAGTAATGGATTAGTCATGTACAAACAGGGCAACAAAGATGTTACACAGGTTGGGGATTATGACAGTATATTTTCTGTATTTCGTCCTAGAAAGTGCCACCACTTTTTTCTGCGAAATAAGCTGACACATTTTCCTAATGCTCTCTCTTGCTCGGTCTTCCACCCTCTTATTTTTGTCCACATTCCATTAACTTCTCTTCCCGGCTATAAATACCCTGCATGTCAGATTGGACCAGAGTGAGGGCTTTTGTCGCTTTAAGGAACTTCACGGGGGGGGGTAAACATGGGAGAGGTAAGTATAGATGGAGGAGCGCTATAAATATCCTGCATGTCAGATTAAAGAAGAGTGGGCTTTAGCTGCTGTATGGAGAAAAAAAAAGGAAGAGATGGAGGAGTTAAGTAAAGATACATGGGGGGTAAGTGGGAAAAGGGAGGGAGGAAAGGGTGAGAGCTTGGGGCTTTTGCGGGGGTTTAGTTTAAATGAAACCAGGTGTGTTGTGGGACTTTTGAGAGGGGTCTTTTTGTAAGAAGATGGGGGGCGCAAGTGTGTCAATCCGTGAGTTGTTGCGCCTACGATTTGAACAGATTCGGAATTTTGGTATTTTGCCCGCAGACCAGGAATTTGCATCCTGGGGGGTCAGGGAGTGGGGGTTTGGAGAGCGGAGGATGGCAGTGCAGGGGGCCAGAGGGGAGAAGAGGGGGGGGTAAGATGGGCTGTCCCTCTCTCCTCCCTCTTTCCGTCTCTCTCGCTCTCCCTTCCTTCTTTACATGTGTTCAGCTGCTCCAGCTGTCGGTCTCCCCACTCACTCTCTCAGGGTCACACAGGCAGGAGTTGAAGGGACCACTTCTGTACGGGACGACCGCCGCCAGCAGCACTACACACCGGCACACAGAGGGAGACAGACTTTCCATCCGGAAAGATTCATCTGTGAGTTTTCCTTGTGTTTGTCTAATGTCTGACATCCATGTTAGAAGAGATTTGTGTCAAACAGAAAACTAGTGGATGAATTATCCTGTTGGTGAGATGTTTAGGAAGAACGTAAATAAGGTGAGAGCTGTGCCTCTTACCCACTTTTCTAGTACAGGCCTTACACGTCACAGCTGCAACACTGCTCTGCTCTCTCAGCTACACTTGGCTCCTCACTAGAGCCAAGATAATGTGGCCAACGGTCTGTGCAGTTTGCTTCTTGGCTTTGTGTTCCAGACTGTAATAGGGGGGTAGACAGGAAGAGAAGCAGTGAGTCACAGGGTATATATTATTATTGTACAGTATGTAACAATTCTTCCATCTCATCCCTTTTGTACACTAGTTAGAGTCAGGGGGACTTTCTGACTTTCTGAATTACAGCAAGACAGTTTATGAGTTATAATTTTAAGTAAGAGAAACAGGTGCTAGCTCGAAACTCTCAAAACCAGTTTAACCAGGGTTTGGTCATTTCTCAAGGTGGTAGCAAGTTGCAACATACAGTAAAGTATTCAGGTAAGATAATTGATATTGAACTGTTTGATCTACTAAAAAACTTCTGTAAGAGAGCGACTTCTAATGCTTTAGTCATTTTACTGTGTCCTCTACATCCTTTGTATGAAAAGTTTGAGTTCCTTTACTGGACAAAGATTATGATAACCAACGAGAAATGGAACATTTGGTTTTATCTCCCAGGCCAACAAACTGTTGACATTAACATGATGATTCACTGTTCAACTGATGCTGGTTTTGCGTTGGCTTGAAGTGCTCTAAGTTCCCTTGATGCATTAATGTTTTTCTGTGTTGTACAAAACAAATTCCTGCAAAGGACAATAAAGTTGAAGTTAAAAAGAATCAGAAACAGTGAAGGATGCTGTCTTTACACTATCTGACAGTGGTTTATCATTGTGCTCCTAACATGTGACAGCTCACTGTAATGAGTCAGGTGGGATCATAATGGCAACAGGGAGGCTGTGTTCCCCTGAGAGCAGCACATCATCTCATGCCACATTGTGTGCATACTAATACATCACAGCCTTTACAAACTCTTTACACGGTGAGGCAGAGCAGAATCACCTCTGTGTGTTACAGTGTGTGAATCTCCTGCAGGCCTCCATGTATGTATCTCTGACTGTGATAGAGTTTCTCAGCACAGGAGAGAGACTGTGTGAGGGATGTCGGCCCCCTCAGTGTGGACTTGCAGGTTCACTGCCACTGTGGTAACAAAGCGCAGCTGGAGCACGCATGGCCTCCATGTTCTCAGAGGCTGCTCCACGCATAACCGAGCTGAACCATAGCGCGCGTGCGCTCAGTATACACTACAACACATGACCGTCCACACACACCCTGTATGTGTGTGTGTGGTCCAACTGTGGGTTTTTCCTGGTCCCAATGCGGGCATTTTTATGAGCCGCCTGACAATGTGCTTGTTGAATTATGCTGGGAATTACATTTTTTGAAAAGGTCAGCCTGTTGTTACTGACAACAAGACCATGCTCTAATAGAAGTACATTAATATATATTATTAGATTATATTATTGTTCATCATCAGAGGTATTGTACATAATAATCACAAAGGCGTTAGAGCACTCATATTTTGAAGTTCAACTACAACTGAACTGTGCTCCAACTTATGCTGCTAATACAGCTGCAGCCGGATGGAGGTTTGGCACCAGCTTTCCTCTTATGTGATCCATGGGGGGTTTCCCAGAACCTGATACTCTGGGATCCACTGGCGTGGCAGGGCATCCCAGCTGGGAACTGGCGCCCACATCCTCGCCACGGGCATTCCAGAGGTCCACCGCCACTTGATCTCCAGCAGCGCCAGGCCAACACCCATGCATCCCCTCTGCCCACACTCAGTGGCCAGTGAGTGACTGGACCCCGACCGATGGTCAGTTTGTTTTTTGGGGGTTTGGGTTGCATTCCTGATGGTTTCAAGTGTCCACTGGGCCAATTCATAGAGGTCACGTACTGTGGCCGTCTGATTGCTCTGTGGTATGTGTTACTGTCTACAGGGTGAGGGCTGCTTTTCACCACACAGAGGTCATGAGTGGCCTGTGATGTCATCCGTCCAGTATTTTAAGGTGTCCACATCACCCTGTGGCCTTCTGTTTGTCTCAACAAGAAATACAATAATAAACAATGCCTGCAAATGTGGCCCTTGGCGTTTACATTGCAGTGTTTCTATGCACGAACACGGTCAGTGATTATAACTTTCCTCTCATGTATATATAAAAAAAGTTAACTTCATTGCAAACAGAACTTGCTTAGATTTTTTTTTGACTCCTTCAAATTGCCTGGCTTTTTTTTTTTCTACATTTTGGTTAGCTGGGGCTGGAATAGATGATTTTCTATTTTTAGACTCAGCTTACACACTTATAGCTCCTCTCCAGGAACATAAAATGAAGGATGGTTTTGTCGCTGCTGGGAAAAAGCCCAGTCCATCAGAGAACTCTGCAAACATGATATAATACAAACCTTACTCAAAATACATGACACAGTGCAGAGCATTGTAGAAAAGACTAGCTCCTGGATTCTACTCAGATCCTTTACGTAAGTTAAAGCTAATAGAAATATACCTTAATTATCCAAAGTAAGTGCAAGGATTTCAATATGTCTTATTTATGGTTTTTGGTGGCCCAGACTGTAAGCTGGTGTTGGCAACACATGGTTGCTTACTCAGCAGGCTAGCAAGTGGTTTATTTAACTGGTAAAGAAGCATGCTGATTAGCCTTAATATTGTTGTTTTTTGTGTGGCATCCAATTTTGGCTTACCTATTCTAGAAATCCATCCTATCCTCTGTAGTTTACTATAAGCGTGCTAGTTGGCCCAAACAAATGTGTAAGATAGGAGTGTGGAGGAGCGACTGAACTGATGTAATTGAGTCATTTTTAGGCTTTTTCTTAGTGGGTTAAACTAAACCGCCACTGATAACAAAATGTTGGCTTGCTTGATGAGGTGTTAGCTTGCTGAGGAGGTTGTGTTGAGTGTGGGTGTAGAGAAAGAGTTCTTAGATGAAAAAAAAAAACAGCTACCATGGTAGAATAAAAATATTCTCAAACTATAAATTAAGACGCTGTAAATTCAAGGCAGTTAAGTCGCCGGAGCTGCTCTTTGAGTCAAGATAATTCAGAGGATAGTGTTTATTGTGTTATGATATTAGCAAGTAACTCTTTGTTAGTGTAGTCAACTAGATTGTGCTAGGACAAAACATCCTAAAAACCATACTGGGCCTTTCTGTAAATGCTCATCTCACATTTTGCACATTTTATTTCACACTGGTATCTCCGAAATGTCATGGGGTGGAAGTATAAAGAACCAAAAAATTGAGATATTAAAAAAAAAGGGCAGTATATATAAATGATTATAAAGTTCAGAAGGCCTACTTAATTGAATGTGCATGGATTTTCACCACTAATAGGTCAAAAACCCGATTACATTACAGAGTGACGTCATAGCATTTCCAAAGAAGGGGTCACTTTGTCACACATGAATTTATTGTAAGTTTATCTCAAAAAACTAAAGCAGCAGATCATGAGATGCTGTTCTAAAGTTTCTAAGTAATAGCCAGGATTTATGTGCTCCTAACAGAGCTGCTCTGACACACAGTAAACCAAACCTCTGGAGGCAGCACTCAGCAAGACGATCATTCCTGTGAGTTGTAGTCTGCCAGTCTGCAGACACAGAGGGCTTTCTGTGAGTAGCTAATAAGAAAATATTTCTGTGATGTTGACTTTGTTATTTTGAGCAGAAGGATGGCGCACGTCACAGTGTTTATGTTCTTACCTGGCAGAGGGTCTCATTCCAGTTATTCCCGCTGCGATCAAGAGGGGACTGTTTGGTTGACAAACAGTGAATCAGGTCCAAGAAGCTCACTGTTTGTTTTCTAACTGACTACTTAAAAATTGGCTCTGGAGCTTGGAGTTGATTTATCCATTTCAGCTGTGGGAACATCTCCCAGCACTAGTATGTTTTAAGGCTGAATTGAACAATCTTTTATTTTATGAGTTTCTAATATCACCTTGCCCTTTTCTTTCCATCCCTCTCAAACACAGATCACACACCTCGGCTGCTCCAAACATCACAAAGTCAGCGGTCTCTCTCATCTTTAAAGCAGCTGCTACCTGTCTCATAGCTGTGAGCGTGTGTGTGGGTGTGTGTGTGTGTGTCTGCATGTTGTGTTCCTGTCCCCTCTTCCTCAAATTAGTGCATTAGTATGCAGGGAGCTTGTGTGTCAATGTTGTCCGTGTGCATATGTGTGTCTGCGCTCCTCCACAGTGCTATTTCACAGCCGCCCACAGAAAGTGACACCTACACGGTAAGAATGGCCAAATCTTTTGCATCTTTTCTTTTCCATACTGTTAATCAAACCTCTCAGTTTGAGGTAGAAACATTTCTATTAAATACTCTCTCTTCTTCTTGTTTAATATTCCACAGCAGTTTTCCTTTTCCAACATTTTAACACAGTTAGTTGGGGGTAATTTTAGTTTTTAATTCACTTTTCTCTTGGCCTTACTTTTCTTTCCATGCATCTAACAGTAATATATTTTCCCCAAGAATGATAATAACCCTTTTTCCAAACACTGGCCTTAGACTCGTTGTTTTTGAAGGGACATTTGGCTTACAAGCGTCAGTTTAAAATGTCACAAATCCTTTAACAGCCGCAGACCTCTTGTCTTTTTGGCCGAGCACTTCTACATGAACGGAGGGAAAACGACTTTTTTCATGTCCCACTACTGAGGATTTATTATGTATCATGAATATATTATGCAACTGCTTGGCTCAGAAAGGCTGTTCACATCTTTCTTTCCATCATTTTCTCACACTCTATTTCGCTCTCTGTGCTGCTCTTTGCAGGAATGCACAGATGGGTATCACTGGGACCCTCATACAGAGCACTGCAAAGGTAATGCACTCTTTAAAATGCATTTATACCATATCAACACCGACGTACAGCTTGGATATATTGCCTTTTGATTGATTTTTTCCTTAAAAGTACAGTTAGAAGCTTATGGTTTATCACTGCATCTCTCATCAGATGTAAACGAGTGCGAGACCATTCCAGACGCCTGCAAAGGTGAAATGAAGTGCTTCAACCACTATGGAGGCTACCTGTGCCTTCCCCGCTCTGCATCAGTCATCCCAGCCCCGGAGCCTCCCATCACGCCAACTGTGTCCAACCCCTGCCCCCTGGGATACGAGCCCCAGGGAGACAGCTGTGTGGGTGGGTGTCTGGTTTGCGCATCTAATGGCTTGAGGTGGACAGGTGGCCACAGGATGACTGATCATTAAGAAAGTTTGTGCATGTGTGTGATTGTGTGTGCATTTATTGTTTGTGGCCTCAGAATGTGAGGGACAGGTGGCTGAAGCAGGTGTTGGGACTGGAGGCAGCGTGTTGGTGCAGTCTGTGTGGGTGTTAGTGAGCATGAGTCTGCAGGGGGGCAGGCAGACGGTGTAGGAATTTGGAGGATCTAACACGAGAACAGCTGTTGTGCTTTAAGAGTCAGTTTTGCGTCTCGAAACCTCCTCACGCTGGAGGGCGGTGAGGTGTCCAAGCGGCCTGCATGAAACAGCAAAAATGATTCAACATGATGAAATGTTTTACAGCTGTTGGGGGCAAATGGGGGGGGTACTATCGTCTTCCCTCCAACAGTCATACAGTGTCTTCCGGTCCTACTGAATTATGAATTTTTACACTGTGTGTCCTTGTTTCACCCACAAAAACAGACATTGATGAGTGTGAGCGGGACGAACATGACTGCCAGCCCAGTCAGCAGTGTATCAACTCACTGGGTGCCTTCACCTGTCAGTGTCCTGATGGGTATCGCAAGGTCGGCACAGAGTGCATCGGTGAGATTATCATTTATAACCTTTAAGTATAGCTAGGCAACATCAAACATGACAACTGGAACTCTTCAAATCCATAATAAAAACTGACTTTATTAACCTGTAGGAATGTGAATATCCCTCTTCTGACTGTATTTCTCTCTCTCAGACATTGATGAGTGCAGGTACAGGTACTGCCAACATCGCTGTGTCAATGTGCCCGGCTCCTTCTCCTGTCAGTGCGAGCCTGGATTCCAGCTGGCAGGAAATAACAGATCTTGCATTGGTGAGTGACGCCTCTCTGCACCTGGTTATATGACTTTACTGTCACAGTCACTGAGGAGTGCATACTAGTCAGAGAGCTTCAAGTTATGTTGTAATGGAGAACTTTCTTGGCTTTATCAAGTTAAAACAATAAAGCCTTTGATAATGTCGCTTAAAATTGACTAAAAGAGCGACTCCAGCAATTTACACATCAAAGTCTTTCAACAGGTCAGTAAAAAATACTGCATCTGTGCTATAAGGTTGTATAAAGCCTTTTGTGGCTCCAGAGGGAGCTGTGCAAAGTCAGCTACATTTTGGTGAGAGAAGAAGACTCCAAGTTTGTAAACCAAAAAAAATAAGAGGAAGTGACCTCACCAGATCTTTGCAGTTTGGTCATCATAGCTGCTTCAGGCTTCAGGCCGAGGGTAGATTAAAAACTACGATCATAACACATTCAAATCTCCTACAAAACAATGATAGGTTGACTCAAAGTGGCTTGGAAACATACCAAATAAACTGAAAACTTTCATTACATATTGATTCAGTAGTGCTATATTGTAATTAGTGCACAGGTGTTACAGAGCTTTTGCCAAATAGAACAACTCCAGTGAGAGAGAAAAAACACATGGGAAGAAACCAAAACTTTGTCATCTTTGGCAGATAATTTTGTGCTAGTGTTGGACGTCTTCTGTCATAGTAACATTCTGATTAGAAGCTGTCATTCTGATTTCTGCATTCAGCATACATTCTTCATCCAGCAACTGTAAGATGGATGAGCTTGTCGACTAAAAGTAAAAATGTTTCCCCTTGTTTCAGATGTGAATGAATGTGACATGGGTGCCCCCTGCTCTCAAAGGTGTTACAACACATATGGCACCTTCCTCTGTCGCTGTGATCAGGGCTATGAGCTGGGGCCTGATGGCTTTGCTTGTAACGGTAAGAGACTCACTCTGACTGTCTGTGTAAAATAATTAGTATAGTAGTATATGCAAAATTCTGTGGTGCAAATGTTCTCAGTTTTTATTTTTATTAAAAACAATTGACAGATATCGATGAGTGCAGCTACTCCAGCTACCTGTGCCAGTACCAGTGTGTCAATGAGCCTGGGAAGTTCTCCTGTGTGTGCCCTGAAGGATACCAGCTGCTGGGCACCAGACTCTGCCAAGGTTAGCACGTCCGCCTCCATTTTCTCCCAAATCTAACACCTACCTCTCTGTGCTCTCAGAGTCACAAATGCTGCTGTGAGTCAACACTTAATCAGCCTTTGAGTACAGCACTATTCTTGTCTTGGGTCAGTCTGATCCAAAATGATGAGCTGTTTGTCTCCTGCAGATATAAATGAATGTGAAACAGGCGAGCATCAGTGCACAGACACACAGACCTGTGTGAATATCCACGGACGGTACCAGTGTGTGGACGCAAACCGCTGCCAGGATCCTTATGTACAAGTGTCTGAGAAGTGAGTGACACCTTGTGAAATAAAAACTTTCACACACATTTTCCCAATTACATAAATCTGGCATCAGCTCAGAATATAATCAGCCTCTTTATTTACTATGGCCCAGACTGCAAGATAGCCCCCATTACTTTTTCCACACACTGGTCCAACTTTTCTTGTGAGCACGCTCCAGTGCAATAAGAGAACTATCCTAGTTGTGAACTAGTGTTAGATTGGTAACAGGTGTGGGCGATTACTAACAAATCCCTCATGATTTGGTGATATAAAATGTGTCTAAGAAAAACATGGGAGAAAAAAATGGCTACTGTTCAGTTCTTGTTTTCATTTTAGAACTTTCCTCTCAGTCATAGAACTCCCTCTGCTGGACGATTTATGAACTGCTCTTTCTGTTTTCCTGTACAACATAACTATTCTCTTCTTAAATTCAAAGTTGACCCTGTCTGTTTTCTTTGCTGTCCAGCCGCTGTGTGTGTCCAGTTCACAAACCTGCCTGTCGGGAACTGCCATTCTCCATCGTCCACCGGTACATGAGCATCACCTCTGAGCGCTCAGTCCCCTCAGACATCTTCCAGATTCAGGCCACCAGTGTCTCTCCTGGAGCTTACAACACCTTCCGCATCCGCTCGGGTGACGACAACGGAGACTTCTACATCAGAGTAAGAAACGTGACAGAGTGTCATCAATAATTGTTTGCTCAAAACCTGTAAATACACTGAGGTGTGTCTTTTCAGTCTAAAGTGCACTGATGGGGTTATATTAACTCTTTAGAAAAATACTGTCTTTTAAATACACAGGTAAGTTTGTCAGGTGTTTGTGTATTATTCATGTGATGGTGTTTTATCAACAACTTAAGCTGCTTGAAATCTTCCTAAAATGTAACTTATCCACATCAGTGCATCTGTTATTGTCAAACACTCTGATTTTATTTTCTATTGAATGAATTTGTCAGAACATGAAAAAGAGATGATTAGTGTTGACAGAAAGCTTTGGTTTCGCAGGGTACTAGTATCTGTTGTCCTTTTGCTAAAACCAACCAAACACATGTTTAAAATAACTGTATTAGTCATTAGAAACATATTTACAATTTTAATACCATTCATGGCTCAGCTGCTCTGAAAATGTAGAAACTAACCACATGTTTGCCCCCTCTCACTTCTTGTCAACAGTCAAATTGAGCAATTATTTTATTTTTCAAACAGAATTTTTTTTTACCCAACAGAAAGCTTTAAATCATAAAGTCGTCCGTCTTTTCATGCTATAATATATATATATATAAAAAGTAATTTTTCTATGGATTCTATTCTTTTCCCCAAAGATGCAGCCTAGTTAAACTAGTTTTTATTATGTTATAAATACTTCGGTCGGGCAAGTGGCTGATACACACAGGCCTAAACTCGACACTATTTTAGCATTGCCTTGTACATTTCATTTAACCAGTAGATGGCGTGCTGAGCTATTTGAAACACATGAAGTGCTGATCATCATATATCTGGAGAGAAATGTAAAGATTAACACCATCATTGATGTGTTTTATCACAGTACAATCAAATCAGTTAGTTTACCCCTTGGACTCACTTTTAGGTGTGCAGTACCTGTTTAACTTCAACCTCCAAATATCCAAACGGAACTGAAACATTTCAGATTTCTATATCAGAAAATAAGATCCATCAAGATTGAAAAATAAGAGCCCTCTTGACTACATTAGAACGTATCTTTTTCTGTGTTAGGCTGCATTTGTTTGACATTTCCCTTTCTTAGCTTCCACAGCTAAGTTTAGTTACACGTTCACCTGCACTCTTATCATGCAGAGTCTTGTTAAAGAAATAACTTAATTATTTGATAGACTGGCATATATAAAGATTTTGGTGCAAATTTACAGGTGAGGAGGGCTGGCATTACATTTTAAATGTCAAACAACTGGGGCTGTCACACGATTTCAATCACGATTAATCACTGAATTTGGATCACGATTTGTAAATCATGATAAATCCAATTTATTATCGCATGTTTGAAATTCCATTATTTCCCTTTTTTTTTTTAATTGGTAGGTTTCTATTTTGAGTTTTTGTACCGTATTAAGCTGAGAGTACTTTACTTGCTGCTTCAATTCAACCCTGCTTTTATTTTGAAATAAAGTAAAGACCTTATAGACAGAAGGTTATCAGATTAATTTATCCAAGGAAAAAGGAACTCTTTAATGATCAAAAAACAAATGAAAACAGCTAAAAGGAACGGTAAAAAAGTAAAAATGTTTGATGTTAACTAGTTAATCCTAACAACCCTGAATGAACACAAATGTATGTTTGTAACTTGTATAAAACTTGTATAATAATATTTATTTTGCCTTTTCCAGCAAATCAATAACATCAGTGCCATGCTGGTGCTGGCTCGTGCCGTGTCCGGGCCCAGAGAGTACACGTTGGACCTGGAGATGGTGTCAGTTAACCCTCTGCTCAGCTACCAGTCTAGCTCCGCCCTCAGACTCTCCATCTATGTTGGGCCGTACGCCTTTTAAAGAAGAAGAAGAAGAGTGGAGGGACACAGGGACAGAGAGAGCTGGGGAGAAACAAAGATGCAAACAAAGGAAAATGAAGCTTTAAAACAAAATGCACTGTGATGTTACACTCATTGCTTTTTGTATTACCAAAGAAAGCCACACTTTTCTGTCAGCCAATCATATTATGTTAAAGAATATGCACACAGTCAATGCACAGACATTGAAAGAAAAAAACAGCCTTAAAACAGTTTGTAATGTGTTCCTTTGAGTTTAATGTGTCAGTATTTTATTAGGATGTTGTGTTTTGTTATCTGCCAGCTTCATTCTGGTGTCAGTGTGTATAAAATAAGAATGGTCTTCACTTCTCCTCTGCTCTGGGTGATATGAAATGTGTTCTACATATTTTAATGTCTGCCTTCAGGTGGAGTGATTCATGCCCAGTGTCACTTCATTAATCTGCTTTCATCAGTTTACACTCTTCTCTATCTATCGCCCCCCGCCCGGTTTCCTGTACAGTAACCACTCTGATCAGACCTCAGCCTCCACGCTTCTCCTTCACCCTCCACTGTTCATGTCTTTGTTTGAGCTCTCTACCACCGCCTTGTGTAGGTTTGTCACATTGCTGATTGTGTTGTTTTTTTTAAGATTTAAGATTGAAACCAAAATAAAACAATATACCTTGACAGGTTCATTCTTTGGGGTCATGCTGTATCCCCCTCTTGGAACTCCATTGTTGTTTGAAATTAAACTGTTAATTCGACACTATAGAATCGATTTGCTGCTTGTATATTAGTTCAAAGATGCAAAACACTTGCTTGTTGTGCTTTTATAGTGAGGGTATGCTTCTTAAACATTTTGTGAAAATACAAATAATGATTACAAAAAAAAGGTTATAAGGTAAAAACAATAAGAAGTAATGCTGTCAACATATACATTTTATCCAGGAGTATCCTTAGCATTTATTCAACAACTGTGTGAATTGTGTTGTACAATTCTGAATATCTTTTTCTTATTATTGTGCTCTTGATGCATAAAAAGAAAGATTCTTAATTACATCAACTTGGGCTATAGACAAAATTAGATATACAAAAAGAAACATACATACAATCTGTGTCTACAGTAGGCATGTATACTGTATGTATGGAGTCCTCTGTCGACCAACCACTCTTACTGACCGTTTCCCTCTCCTATATTATGTAAGAAAAGAGAGGGGTTTAAACATGAAGTCGTGTAAATGGTGATTTGTTAGGTTCCAGCATCCCAGAACCGCCTCCCTTTTCCAGCACCCACACAGCCAGCACACCCTAACTTAGCAAAATGGATCTGCTCCTTTCTGTATCATCTTCAACTAACAGCTACAGCTTCATCATCATTCTTATTTCCTGCAATGCCCTTCATCACAGTCTGAAACCTCTCAGTCAAACAATAACACAAAATAAGGCAGAACAATCATCATCCACTTTTGACGTATCTAATTCTCTCTATTGATGAAAAGATATTTCATTTCATCAAAAAGATTAGAACTGAAACTTCTCCCTGGCTTTCAGAAATAAGAGAGGAAAGGCAGCAACACTGCAGCTCTGCCGCCATCTGTTCTATTTTTTTTTTTTTACTGTCACAGCACTTAACTTTTTGTGTTCACTGATTCTCCTGACCCACAAAAAAAGCAAAGGAGAAAAGAGAGAGAGGGAGAAAAAGAGAGAGGGGAAAGCCCTTATTTCACAGTCCACTGCTGTTAGCTCCTCCCAGTTCTAGCAAATACACAAACACAGCACACACACCTCCCATCTGTCCTCACTAGGGGGTGATGACTCACACACTGGCCTGTTTTTATGTAATCGGAGCAGACTGTGCACAGCCAGCAGGGGGCAGCACATCACACAGATCTACCCACACAGAAGCAGGCCAGGAATAGAAACAACCTGAGGAGAGAGTGTTGGTTTTATAACCTAATTGCCTAGTGAGCCTACATTTCTCCTGTTTTCCATGAACTCATACACCTGTGGGAGGGAAAAGTGAGGGGAATTGTGTCTACTTTTTACAAATAATGAACAATAGAACATCTGAGGCACAAAGATACTTTCCAGGCTCTGAAATGGGTTGTGGCACAGACTTTGTCTTGCATAACTTGGCATCTTGTAATGATGGAGAACAAAGCTGACGGAGCCTGCAGATGGTGTTAAAGAGTGCAGTAGGGTAGTAGGTGTATGTGTGTGTGTGTGTGTGTGTGTGTGTGTGTTTCCCCACATCAGAGGAGAGTGGTGGTCCTCTGGAATTTCCTGTTGGCATACAGATAGAAAGACTGACACGACAGAAAAAGAACAACAGAATATTTGTTGGCAAACTGGAACAGGACGAGAGCCGGCTGGGCTTTACCTGCCACTTCAAAAAAATCCAAAGGGAACATAAGAACAACCAACTTAAAAAAGAATGCAAACTTTTCTCTATAAATAATAAAGATGCAAAAAATGCAGAAGAGACACAACATGACGACAAAGAGACACAGCATGATTACAAATAGATGTATAATGACTATGGAAAACACAATATGACTACGAACAAGAAGACACAACATTACCTCAAAGAATGCAACTGCTAAAAAGCCACAACTGAGAAAAACAAATCAACACAAATAGCAGCAAAATGACTCAAAACAAATATCAAACAAACACAATAATACACAAACTGACAAAAATGTATTAACAATAGGATACAAAAAGAGCTTAAAGGAACAACATGAAGATGCAAAGTGTTGAAAATGAAGTCACAAATGACCACAAAGAGGTGCACAATGACTAAGAATAGGGGGAAAACAACTCAAATAGATAGAAAAACAACTGAAGTAAAGTAATAAATAGCCAAATATAGAAGCAAAACATCATCAAAAAAGCAAAACCAATAATAACAGACAGGAGAGGGATCGGAAAGAGTCGCTAAACCTGTGTATTCAGAGTGTGTGTGTCTTTTGTGTGATTGTCCTGCTGATGAATTAAAGTTTTAGGTGAGTTTTAGTATCATTAATGTGCCAAGTTGTTCATTGTCACATGATCTGTCCGGGCACACTTCATTAGGGTACACAAGCAGAGGGCAGTGTGTGTGTGTGTAGCAATGTACTTTGGGTATTGATATAACACATTTTAAGTGTGTGCTGCTGTAAATCTGTGTTTGCTTTCAGTATTGTGTATCTGTGAGTGTGTTTGTAGGGTGTGGGTGTTTACACAAGAGAGCATGTGTTTGAAAGTGGCATTGCCCACGCAGACGAGTAGGAGGAGTGTTTGGGGTGGCAGAGGGGAGCATTAAAGTGCCTGAGCCTCTTTTTTTTTTAATTTGGCATCTTCACTTGGGTATGATCTCATTTCTGGGCAGGCCGTGCCCTGAAGGCCGTGGAGGGGGACAGCGTGGCACCGGAAGCGAAGGAATGAAGATTCAGTGTAGGGCAGGCTGCTCCAACCACCTCTTCTGTGCAATGGAGCACACATGGAGGACAGAGAAGACCTTCTTTCATGTTGTTTCTATCCCTTAGTTTCAGACATACTGCCAGAAATGAGGAGCAATCTGTTCTTAAGGTGTAGCTCTTTGATCTGCTCCTACTGCATCACAATAAGCTCTCCACGCCTTCCCCCTCCAATACACCACAATGCCGGTATTATGCTTATGAATGAAGGACCAAGCTTGAGTGTCATTTCCATCCACCCACAACCTCCCAGCTCTGAGATTAGTTCATTAATGAAAAAGCGGGCAGTGGAATCTGTAGAACATTCAAAACAGGCCATGCAATACATAACAGGCTGGGTGATTAGTGAGTGTAAATTAGTGAGGGCATCAGGCAGGAAACGGCTCAATTTGTGAAAAATATGAGATATGTTTATGGAGAGGTGGGGGACAATCATACCACACTACATAAACAATCCCATCAATGACTGATCATCTGATTGTGTGTTAAAAGATACTGCATCAATCAGACATGTTATGACATAATATTCTCTTTATTATTTATTTAGAAACATTAAGAAAATAAAAAAACACCTATAAAGAACAAGTAGAGTTTGCGACTGGAATCATCTTGGACAGTGATTCCCAAGAAGACACACTTTTACCACAAAGGTTATATCTGCAGTTTCCAGTGGATGATTGAAAGGACAACAGCTAACTTGCCTATTTGGTGGCAAAGGTCACCTGACAGGGCTAGATCAGAAAAAGGAAATAAAGAAGGTAAAGGCACCGTTGATCATAGAAACCAACAGAGGAATCATGTTTGTTATTGTACTACATTATTTATTCTAGAAACCCACAGCAGTAAAGCTTATATTTATTTACTGATAGTTATTTGATGAGGCTACACTCAGGCACACTTAATAACATCATACTCATTTGTTCACAATGGCAGTGGGAGCATACATGTCTTTCGAATGTTTTTTTTATGTCCTTGCTAATGTTCTATTCCTGTTTTAAATTTCCAATGATTACCATGGTCAATTTGTATAAAGGACCCATTTACATCTCCTTGAAAACCTCCATAGATACCTCCACAGTGGCTGACAAATAATCATCACTTGAACTACATTGAAACTATTTGTTGCTGTTTAAAAAAAAAACCTTTTTTTTACAGTTTAGCCAGTTTTTTTTTTTTTACTGTAGGTGATTATAATAACCTGGAGAAATGGGGATTGACTGTGACAGTGCTAACATAATGATGTTGACATGTGCTTCAGAAATTAATGCTGAAACTAATGCAAGAAAGAAAGTATAAGAAAAACATGTGAGGGCAGTGTCTGATAGGCCTCCGACGCTGCTTGTTTCCAAGAACTTATCTTATATTAAGGCCAAGATACATTCAGTACCTTCGTACAAAAACACACACAAAACAGGTCACATTGTCATTTAAATGTACATTTATTTCAGTGTTGAGTTTCTAGAAGTCCATTTTTTTTTCAAATAAACAAGTCATGATTTAATTTTCTAACATTTAGGAATAAATCCTGCTGGATTTACTTCTTCCAACTTTAAATATGAACATTTGTTGGACCACTAGTGACCTCCACATACACACAGGAAGAAGCTTATGTTTGATACACTTTCTGAATTGCCCCTTTATGATACAGCAGGAGTCATATCTTGTTAGCTCTGGAAATAATTAGCTTATCAGTCTGGTCCAATTACAGGTTCAATTGCCGGGCGTGTTTATTACCTCAGGTCAGTGTAATCTCTCATAAACACCTTGGGGATTCAGTGCAGGTTCAGCTGTGAGCAGGATTTTAGGTCACATGACAGAAATTAACAACAGTGTAATAAGAAATCTGACTGCAGGTGTTCTCGAGGATAACTGCAAATACATCATGAATTCTTCTACCCATGATGAGCTGAAAAAAAAAAAAAAACCTTGAACAACAACTTTATCTTCTTTTGTCTGTGAAGCAAACATATCTTGGCATACAGGATAACATGAGAGCCTTGGACAGATTTATATAAGTCTCTGAACAAAACCTCACCATGCCTGCTATACCTTCACTTTCTTTGCTCATTGCGTATATGTGGTTACCAAGAAACGACAACGTGTTGCTATGGCTGTGTGGGTGTGTGGCGGCAAAAGGGACCAATGCTGAAAAGACATTCAGCTGTGAGAAAAATAGCAGAGATGAAAAACTGAAAGCTATGTGAGTGGCAGAGTGCAGAAGCTGGAGAG